TAAAATTTATAATTTAAATTAATAAAATAAATTTCAATTATTAACTATTAATATATTTTAACTATTATAAAGTATTTCAATTATTATAATATATAATTTTTAGTTTTAAAATATTAATTTATTAATAATACTATTTCAAGTCAACTCAAGTCAAGTTAAATTTGAGTTGAGTTTAAATCAAATTGAGTTAAATATTTAATTTAACTTGAATTTGGCATGACTCACAAATCATCAAATCAAAAAAATATAAATTTGATTTGATTTAAACTCAATTTGACTCATTTAACTCGTGAGTTAACTTGATTCATTCAGAACTCAAGTGTTATTACCAAAGCAATTGACTAATAATAATGAAGTCATATAAATAAAACAATATAACAATTTTTAATTTTGAATTCTGAAAAATGGAAAATCAACATAATTTCACTAATCTTTGAAATACTAATATTTTACAAATTAAACGAAATCTAAGAATATTCAATTTTATATTTATTTTTAATATTTTATTTTATATTATATATTTTATTATTTTATGTATTTTTTATTATTTTAATTTATTTAATTTACTTATATTTTATGTGTCAAAATAGTTAATTTATAATATAATAATTAATTAGCTACATGTGTTAAATATATCTTTTATATTATCATCCACCACAATAAAATATTTTGATTTTGATCTGCTTAAGGATTTTTTAAATATATTTTACTTTAAAAGTTATTTTCTCAACCTCATTCATTTTATACACAATATCACAATAAAATTAGAAATTAAAAATCATGGATATTTGATTAAACCTGGGTCAACCTAGATTATATCAGTCACTTTCATTTTTTAATAAAATCATATGATAAAAAATCATCTAATAATATATTCTTTATTATTTTTTTAAAAATTAAAAATATATTTAAAAATTAAATTTATTTATATATTATTTTTAAAATAGAATAATAAAGCGAACTGAAATACATTATCTGCTATTTTACTATATTGTGATTAAATATTATGGAAATTTATTTTAATTATAAGAAAATAATGAATATAAATTAAAATTTATATGAAATGCTCATAATTTTAACATATAAGTAAAAATTAATTTAAATCATAAAACTAATAATAAATTAATTAATTTTATTTAAATTGTATTAATTTATATATTGTTTACTAAGTGAAACATTTATATAATTTAATGATGATCTTTTATATTACTACCAATAATAAACATATAATAAAATATATCAGTCATATATATTGTAACCTTTATTTATAATAGATTTTTAACAGTTTTCATTTTCTTAGTTATACATAATATAATAAAATAATAAATCTATAATTTAAAATATAATAAAATAAAAAAGTAATAAAAATAATATAAATTAAGATAACCAAAAGAATTTAATAAATTTGATAAATTTGATTAATCAGAAAATCAGAAATTTATTAAAATTCTAATTATTTTAAAAATTCTTTTTTAATTTTATAATTTTTTATATTAGTTAGATTAATTATTTTTATTATACTAATATTTCTTATAAATTTTTAATAATAAATTTATTTAAAATACTTTTATTAAATTTATTTTTATAATTATATAAAATAAAATATATGTAATTTATTTATTCTAAATTTAAAATAACTGGTATTATGGATTGCAATAATATTAATAATATTACATGGTGACAACCGCAGCACATCTTAATTTAGTTAGGACAACCGTCCCGTGTAACAAGAATTGATATAAATATTTAAAGAATTCTATTCATGGTAAGATATCCTATCAACAAATTTCATAATGAACCAAGGAAGACGTCCAGTCCGGTAATTTTCAACAATTGTTGACAGTCATAATTACTAATTTCACAAAGTCTAACTTTTTACTTTTATTTAAAAAAATAAACAACAGAACTTACAATAATCAAAATCTTAACCATCGTGAAAGAGCGGCACTATTTACTGGTGCATCTTCCACGGAAACTAACCCAGCTTTAAGATCCTCCGCACCTTCTTCAAATTATACTCCAAACGCACATTTAGATTTAGAAAGTCAAAATGATGAAAAGATTGAAGGGTTAACGGGGAAAGTAAAGTTATTGAAAGAGGTAAATTTCAATTAAATTTCTTTTTGAATCATTTTTATGATTTATACTAAATAAATTTATTGATTTATCGATTTTGATTTATTTATTTATTTTTTTTATTAGATTACATTGAGCATTGGTGAAAGTGTAAAAGAATCAAATAATCTTATTGGAGCTATGGTAAATTTTTATTAATTTAAAAATACTTTTGTAGTTTTCACGTAAATTTCACTGATTTTTTTTATATATATATTTAAGTCGGACGAATATTCACTTACCAGTTCATCACTTGGTGGTACAATGAATAAGTTAAAGCGATTAGCAGTTACTCAAAATAGCCAATTCACGTGGTGGCTAATTTTTCTTACCGTGATAACATTTATATTCTTATATTATATTTTCCTTTGATAAACTCAACTCGCACATGACAATTTGATGTGGTAATTCTATATAGAGTTTACTTCACTAGAATAATCTTATTATATATACTTGCATTAGAAATTATTAATTAATGTATTCATTACAAAGAACAATTTTTTTAAAACAAAAAAAAAATTTCAAAGCAATGTGAGAATAATTTATTTTGATAAATAATAATAATAATAATTATAATTATAGTACATTCAGAAATTACAATGTAATACGCGAACATAAAATTAATGTAGGATTAGGGTAATAAATAAAAAAGCAAACGCCATTGACATTATTGGTTACACGACATGGGTAAGCTATTCCTCATTTTTTGCTCTTCCTTGAAACAATGTTCTATAAAAATTATTATAATAAAACTTATCAACTTCTTGAGGTTCAACAAGAGGCATGTTGCTACTCCATTTATTTTCTTTGGCTCCTACAAGGATTAAAGCACCCAATTCTTTAATAATTCTAACGTCCTCGATGGCTTCCTTTTTGGAATAAGAAGTGAAAGCACATGGCAAATTTTTATCCAACAAAAATTCGATCGTTGGCTTCCAAAGTTCAAAATCATCTTCACCTAAATCTTTGTTAAATCCAATAGCCAAGTGAGGTTGACTATAATCGGAAGAATTAGCGAACTCATGATAAATCATTGGATACATTGAAATAACGCGCATCCTATTTTCCGTAGTGCACCGAGGGCAACATCGCAACGGAAATCCATGATGTTTTGGAGTCATTTCCGGTCCAATCATTACGAGGTGAAGAACTTTTAAATCAGGTAACACGTGCATTATCTCTTCGAAAGTCATAAGCGCCGAAAGTTCATATTGATTTGCACCAACAATATGGATTACCAAATCGTTGATGGAATGTAATTGATCATGCGTGTAAAATCTTGAAAGAGCTGAAAGGATCGTGAGAGGTAACGAAAGAGTATTTGTGATAACTCGACAGAAAGAATCATTACGTTGAGGTATAATTGAAGCCTTTCTCCACTTGAAATATCCATTCCAATCTTTTGGTAACGGTGGATATAATTTATTTTCATCATAATCTTCTGGTGCCCATAACGATTGATCGGGTAAATATCGGATCCTTTCACAATCGGTCATGATTTGATATGTCTCACACAGGTCGTCGTGTTTTGACCGATGTTTTTTCCAATGCTCAGGGCAACAACAAAAGACCACCTGACAATTTGAACATGGAATTAATGCTTGTGACGTTTTCAAGTCTTTTGGACATTTGAAACATATTTGACATTTTGGTTGATTCAACCACGCAAGTCTCTCGTAATTATTTAAATCCCTATCAAGTATAAAGCCTAGTAGTTGCATTTGATAAATCTTGCGCTTATTCCATTCTAATTCCAAACCATTACACGAATACCAAGCTTGTTCATTGTTGCTCAATTCTTCGATAGCAAGACAGAAAACCTTGTGAAATTGGAAATCGGCCTTTTGACATTCTTTAGAACAATAATGTGACATTCGACAACGCGCACAACGTAAAAGAGAAGTTACATTTGCTTCATTGCAAGTTTTACGACAATTCGAACAGGCAGTGCCTGCTATTTGAAGATATGTTTTTCTCTTTTTAAGTTCTTCTTCCCTAAAAGAGGACATGTCGAAATTATAAATTTTCTTTTTTTTTTTCCCATACCCAATTCGGTTTGATCATTCCCGATAATCCGAAAATTGATCATGTGATCACAAAAGTAACATTTATTTCATAAATATTTATTTATTTTTTTTTTTATTATAAATTATTTATACATATATCAAAAAAAAAAAAAAAAAAGAGAACTTTCTAATGTATTGTCTTTAAATAAATTAAGTATAGTCTAGTTCATATGTTCATGACTCAAAATGATTTACTTAACTGAAATACATCAAATATTGATGAGTGAGAATCTGGTATGACATTATTGGTTGGACTATTTTCCTCTACTTCTGATGCAGGATTATATACTTTATTCTTATAATATAAAAGCGCTTGATCAAGAGGCAAATGATCCGTAAGATTCCTTAAATTTTTGAAAGAATTTGTTTTCATTATCTGATTTCAAAAAAAGTTAATATTATACTTGATCAATGGGAAAAACTCACTTTCTTGGAGCTACATTTAAACAATGGCGAGCATCTAATCGTAAATCCAAAATGTTTGGATCATGCGCGCCAGGACTGAATGCTACACGTAAGGAATATTCCTTATCACCTGATAAACCGCGATGACGTTCATAAAGTTCAAACGTTATTTGAGTGAGATCTTAATAATTTAATACACAAAAATTATTGTTAATCTCAAGATAAAATATATAACATTACAAATATATGATGTCCCTGACTTATATTTACAATCAAGTTCTGCCAAATCATTCTTGGAAATTCGTGTAGGCAGACCAGATAAGAATACAATATTTAATAGCGTATGCACATGGGATTCTGAAAAAAAAAAAAAAAAAAAGACTTTTCTTAAAATTTCCATCCACAAAATATCGAATTATATCGGTTATTTACCTTTAGTAAAATATAATCTTGTACATGGAGTTGGACTTGATTTGGATTCCTTTATGAATTTTTATTAATTTCGTTTAATGATTAAAAATTTAATTCTTAACATAGATTCTCTCTTACCTCCAAATTTTTAATAATATCTTGTAACAAGGAACAAGAAGTCAAAAGTCCAATTTGGAGTTTATCCTTTTTCTCTATACCATACTCTTGTGGTGCTACAAAATCAAACAACATTTTGGCTCTTTGATATAACTCTTTAACCTTGGAGGTACCCTCATCCGAAAAAATGGTTTCCAAGAATTGTCGATTATGCAAAGCATCATATTTGATGCTATCATATAATTCTGAAACTTTGCTAGGATCGAATTGTTGTCGTTCTACATCACAAAAATCATTAAATAACTTTTCCCATCTTTCTCTAAATAATGTTGGATTTTCTGAACAGCACCATCGAGATTGTATCGTTTCAACTTCCATTGTAATGAATTTCTCCCTCATAATCTGTCGTAGTTCCTTCATCAGATCTATTACCTCTTGAACTACTATGCTTGGTTCTGGGACATCATTGGGCCATACTGCATCATTTTTTGCAGTCATACCAGGCTTTAAGAGATTACATAATTGGCTCTTCACTTCATCCATTTGTTCTTTCGCTGCATTACTATCATCCAACATTTCTTTGCGAGTTTCAATAATCTCTTCTGGAATATCGCTGATGTCTAAAAATGTTCTAGAGAATATATCAGCTACAAAAATAATTAGGGAAAAATTTTTAATCTTCGATTTTAACGGAAATTTCTTTTTATGGTAAATAAATGCACTTTTTTAATAAATTTTTCTTTGAAATTTTCTTAATTAATCTTTTTAAAAAATATCTTTTTATAATAAAGTTTTTTTTTTTTTTTAAAAAAAAAAAAAAAAAGGAAAAGGAAATGAATTACTTCTTGAATTTAAATAATCAGAAAAGTGGTATACTGTATATACATATTTAAAATATGTAAATTATATATTATTATTATATACAAATATATGTAAGGGGTTACATTTTACCAAAAAAGATTGGATGGATTCCTGAATTTTTTTTTAACCTATTATCGAACATAAATTTTATAACTGATAAAGATTCATTAGATTACTTCTAACAAATTTTTATCAAATAAAAAGAAAGGAAACGAATTAAAACCTTTCTAACAAATAATATTGTAGCTTTTTAAGCTTTCCCCCAAAATTTTCATCTTTAACCAACGATGTCCATATTATATACTACCTTGCATTGCTATGAAAATGTTGACCAATATAACAAATAATTTTGAGAGAAAGAGTAAATGAATTTTAATAAATTTCGGACATACCAGTAGCACTGACCCGTCTTTCAGAACTCGTATACATTTTGACATCATCAAACACATTCCTGTTCATAATTAAAAGATCTTTTCGTAAATTTTCCCCAAGGTCTCGTGATTGATAACGAGCTGAATGCGTGAACTTAAAAAAGTAAATCAATCATTAGGATTCAAATGGTTCTCTTGCATTAATTGTAATTATCCACTAACCTCACCACCCCACTTGACAATGAGTTGAAGTTTGACAAAGGATCCATCCTCTTTACTGTAAGATGGCTTGATTTGAACTTTAGTTCCAGGCAAATCACTCTTCATCTTTAAAATTAATTTGAGCTGTTCCAATTTTGTTATATCTTCACTTTGCAATTGGATAGCTTCAATTGTGGATTCGATAACTTGTTTTAGTTCATGTGATTTACGCAAGATTACTTCTTCGGTTGCTCCACCTAACAATTTTATAAATGGCTGGCTACGAAAAGAGAATTTCATCTTTTGCTTCGGAGTACGATCAGCATGGCGAAAAACTGATATAAATGATTTAAGTCGCCACGAATTCTCAAATCTGAGCTCATTTGGTATGGAATCAATGCTAACTTTGCGCTTTCGAATAGCGTTCAAAAAAATTGCTCTCAAAATACGCACGCAATTGCTATAATAGTCGTCATTACCCTTTACAAATGACCAACCATTAACATCGATGACATATGATTGCCCATGAACTCGAAGTAAATCAAATCCACAAACTGTTTGTCCAAAGGCCGTGCAAATATCACTCGCCATCCTCTTTTCTTTTGGTGTAAGGGTTGTAACATAGCGAACTTCTTTACCGTCATTATTCCTTTTTACAAGTCCATCTACAACCGGTGATTTACGCGTTTCTGCATGAGCATAAGTAGCCCCAATTGTATAAACTTTAACATCCTCGGCATTATCAACGTCCATAAATTGCTCATAAATATATGAACCTTCAGTTCGTGGCAATGACAAGCCTGGATCAAATTCGCTTGATTTGTTGGCAACCTTACGAAATAAGTGGCGACCTCCACCTCCCGTTTCAGATGAATAATATATATGAATATTATGATCTTCACCACTGATTGGTTTTTCGACAAAAGGTTTTCGTAAAGTTTCACCATTGATACAAATGGTATCTTGATCAATCATTTCGACAACAGCTGGAGGGCATGGTTCATTGTCGATCTCTTTACCTATAAGTTTTTTTAATTTTTTTTTAACATAAGGATCTACTTTTGACCCACCATCACGACTAGCAACGAGACGTTTTGGTGTAGGTACACCCAAAGTATCTAACAAATTCAACACGAGACGCCTGTCCCATAAAATCCGTTGCATAGGAAGATCGTTAACACAGAAAGGTTTACGTAAATTTACATATTCAATTGCTTTGTCTAAGGGAAACCCCGTTGAAAAAAATGATATAAAGAAGTCGCAAATTGGCCAATTTTCAACGTCTATAAAACATTTAGGGAAGTAAGTAAGTCCATATAACAGTAAATTAATGCTTACACGAGTACTAACCTTCATCAAGTATAACTTTGTCACCAAATATAACCGTTTCGAACTCTTCATAAGCAAATAGTTTATTCAAAATATTTCTCATAGGTTTAGACCTCGCTTTATTGTCCATGGCACAAACACCTATAACATCTAAAGACAGTAAAAAAAAAAAAAAAAAATAGGTTAACAAACAAACCTTACAAAAGTTACTAAAAAAAGTATTAAAAAAAAAAAATACATTTTGTCCTCTTATTTGCAGCAATTGTGGGCATTGAGGTGGAAGTTGGAAATGTAACTTCTGAGTATGACTTTGAGGCCATATTTTCATGCGTTCAACAGATATAGTTATAATTGAAGTAAAGTCTTATTAAAGAAAATTGTAAAAAAGAATATTTTGACACGAAAAAAAAATAAATCGCGGTCTTTTTATTATTGTAATTATCTCGTTATTGTCACATTGACTTCATTTATGAACTGTCACATAAATTTCCAAAACTCACGGGAGATGGTCCAATCAAATCAAAAATTCACTATCAATTTAACATGATTGGACTATTGACCAAGTGCGGTTACAACAATAATTTAGAATCTCAATTTAGGAATTATTTATTGAGGGCTGAAAATCCATCAAAGGATTTATAATTACTTTTAACTTGATTTGTGTATTCTCGAATATAGGTTCATTTGAAAAAAAAATAAAAAGCCGAATTGGGCTTTTAATCTATTTTAGTTTACAAATTCTATATTATTTATTTTAGAAAAATTACTAGAACCTGGCTTCAGATAAAATTGTATCGAAAAATCGAAACTTCACACTAAGTACTCTAAGTGAAACAAAGTAGAATATTTTAAAACTCAAAAAAAAAAATTTCTTATTATAATCCGGATTTTACATAATCCGAAAATTAAAAATATCGGAAAAAAAAATTTAAAAGTTTATTTAAACATATTACTTTTTTTTTCTTTTATAATAATTAGATTGCTAACTTCCGAAAATAAATGTTTACAAATCTTTTTCACTATAATGGGCTCTTCTAATATTTTTTTTTAAATTTTTATATTTTATTAAATATAGTTTGTAATATTCTTTAAAGAATTTCTTCCTTTAATTTAAAACTAAAACTGATTAATTTTCTTATATAATTTATTTACTTTTTATTTTATTACATTGAATATAAAACCTTAAATAATTTGTTATTTTTAAAATCTAAATTATTTTAATAAAAATCCAAAAATACAGCTATTATTTTAATAATTTTTGAAACGTTTTTAAACTTCAAATATACTTAAAGAAAATATAACTGAAATTTTTCTTTTTTATAAAATTATTAATAACTTAACAATATATTATCTGTAATCTAATTTATAATTTTATATAAAAATTAGTAAATATTAAAAAAATTACTAGATATTTTAAAAATTGGTTTTTAAAATTACAAAAATTTTATTATATAATTCTTTAAATAATATATTTATGAATCTATTAACTCTTATTTATTTTTTGATAATATTTTTTAAATTTAATACAGTCAAACCTCTATATACCGATGCTGCTGTTTTGGGAAAAAAGTATCGGTATATCAAATTATCGGTGTATAAAAAATTTTATATACCGATATTAATATTGAATGTTTGATCAGTATCGGTATACAAAAATTTTCGTCATTT